CATTACATTTTGCCAGCTAAAAAAATAAATTGTTTAACTTTTATTTATTTAATTTATGTTTATTCCTGACAAATTGCACATTTTCAATAGTATAAAGTGATTATGTTATCTGCGGAAATGATCATCATTAGTTGCCCAATACAAAAACGAAAGGACACTCAATACTCAATTTTAGCTATAACATGCATTGGAAGACAATTGAGATTTGTCTGTTTTTTTTTTTGGTTAATTATTAGAAAAGAAGGAAATAATGTAAGACTCGAATACAAATTTTTAAATACAAAAAATAATTCAATAACTCAAACTACACAGCACTTGATAACAATTCTACGTATAAATTAAAAACTATAACAAGGGAATTGATCTGTCGTACCATTAAGGATTAGGAATATTAGGTGAAGGGCAAAATTTCCAATGATGGGCGAATCTGTTCTAAGTTGTTCTTTCTCCTTCAAAATATTGAGGCCAAAATCAGGTCTACTGATAGATGGTGGCCTATATTTTATTATTTTTAGACTTTCTATTAGTTAATTTTGTACCAGAATATATATAGGGACATGAATCTGCCAACCATATATGATATGTTGTAGGATTCCAAAGATTTGTTTAGTCATGTACTGATAGATAGGGGAAAATAAATAAATAAATAAATAAATAATGTACTACTAGATTTCTAATTATTAGTAATAATATAGGAGACATTAAATTAATTTAATGAGTAATGGTGACATTTTTTTCTTCATTTATGATTAACCAAACTAAAATCTTGACTTCCTGCACAACTTTTTTCATGATACTTTTTGTTATTCTATATATCTTGTGTCTGCTATTGATATTAAGGTTGCAATAGCTTCTGATTAAGAGCTGCTCCACCAAGGTGCTGATGCATCAATGAGCAAAAGGCACCAGCAAGCATAGAGTTGCGAGATCAATGTTTTGATACCACGTAGAAACTGATACCATTATTACAAGGCTTGTTCAAGATTTATAATTGGGTTTACAACAAATAATATCCAAAAGTATTGCTATACTTGAACAATATTCAAAATTTATACTAAGGGGGCATGCCTCCTGTTTCTTCATGTACTTATTTTGAAAAAAAAAAAAAATTTCAAAATTTAAAAGCTGATATCTTTGGGTCTCGCCTATAAAATTATCCAATCTTAGAATCCTGACATCTTTGAAAACGATCTTTATCTTCCAAGTTCCAACAATAGGAAAAAGTGCAAAAAATTCCTCTAAACTATGATAAAATCTGCGACTAATCCCTGAACTACCAAAAATACAAGAAACCCCCTAAATTATACACTTTTGTTGCAGTTTACTCCATCCGGCGAATTGCCGGCCAAATGTTAAAGTTAAAAACCCCATGTGTTGTCACGTTATGCAAGTTCTGAGTTTATATGATCATGATACCCTTATGAATGTGAAAGGACAGTAATGCCCTTTTTGTTACCCTCATACGCAAACACCTCATAACAGACGCAAACACCTCCTAGCCTAATTTCTAATAATTCTGAAAATCAATTTGGTGAACTCAAGTTTCTTTCCCAAATCAACCTCATGCCTCTCAATAGCAACTACACCTTCTCACTTTCTGTTCCTATTTCAAATTTGAAAGATATGCCTCTTTGAAGGATACTTGGTACTGGGCATTTCAGCCATAGGTTTTGAGATTCTCTGTTTCTTCTTTTTTGGTTCACTGTTGAGTTATTAGAAATGGGTTTGGATCGAATATGGTTTTGAGTTCATTTGGAGTATTGGGTCTTTGTTGGGTTTGGGCGTTTTTCTTGTGGAATGGACTAGCTAGCAAGGAAAACTCTAGGCTGTGATGAGAGCTCGGTTGACTCAGCCGTGAAGAAAAAGCTCAGCTGCAGATGGAGGCGGCGGCAAGCTCAAGGTGACTCGGCAGTGAACTATGGACGGCTGTGTGTGTTGGAAATAGTGGCCTAGTTACACACACAACACAATACTATTTGGAAGAGAATAAAAATGGAGGAAAACACTTTTTATTTCACTTGATTGAAAATGGATACAATAAATGGGTTTATATAGGCTTCAAAACATAAATATAAACGAAAAATTAACACCCCACTAACATAACATTTAGTAGGCAAAACTCCCACTAACCCACTAACATGACCATTACTAGTTGTAACTCTCATACCCCCCACTAACTCCAATAAAAACTCACATAAACATAAAATTAAACATCAAATAAAAAACATTCATAACCTTCAAAGACATTTAAAAATATAATCAAGTTTAATTTCTAACACCCCCTCTTAAACTTGATTTTTTTTCAACTCCAAGCAAACTCCTTAACTTGTGAAATTCTACAAACTTGAGGGGCTTGGTGAAAATATCCGCAATTTGATTTTGTAACTTGATGAACTGAGCTCCAACTCTTTATTGGTTATACATTCTCTAATGAAATGAAATCTTGTATCAATATACTTGCTTCGTTCATGAAATACCGGATTTTTGGCCAAAGAAATTGCTGATTTGTTGTCCACAAAAATCTCCGTTGACTTTTCTTGTAGCATGTGTAATTTCTTCAACAAATTCCTCATCCAAATTGCTTGACAAACACATAAAGTGGCTGCAACATATTCCGTTTCACAAGTTGAGAAGGTGACAATGGGTTACTTCTTTGAACACCATGTAAAAGCAGTATTTCCCATGAAAAAACAATAGCTCAAAATACTATTTCTATTATCCAAATCTCCAGTCCAATCGCTATCACAATAACCCACAAGCTTGAAATCATTAGAAAATGAATAGAATAACCCAAAATCAAAGGTACCTTTGATGTAACGAAGAATCTTCTTAGCTGCCTTGAAATGAGTTATGGTGGGTCTTTCCATAAACCTGCTAACAAGCGCAACTACAAATAATATGTCCGGCCTTGTGCATGTTAAATATCTCAAGCTTCTAATAAGACCTTTGAAAAATGTTGGATCCACTGTCTCTCCATCTTCATCTCTTGACAATTTAATTCCAATTTCCACGGGCATATTCACCAATTTACAATCTTCTATCTTGAATTTCTTGAGAATTTCCTTAGCATAACCTTCTTGGTGAATGAAAATTACATCCTTCATTTGCTTGACCTCAATGCCAAGATAATAAGCCATGATGCCAATGTCCGTCATCTCAAACTCTAGAGCCATAACCTTCTTAAAATCTTCAAACATTTTTGGATTACTACCTGTGAAGATTAAATCATCCACATACAAGCAAACAAAAAATATATTTCCATTCTCACTTACTTTGAAGTAAAAAGCATGTTCATATGGGCACTTTGAAAAATTATTGTTTCGAAAATATTTGTCAATTTGCTTATTCCACGCCCTTGGTGCTTGCTTCAAGCCATATAAAGCCTTATTCAATTTCAAGACTTTGTTTTCTTGCCCCTTTACAACATAGCTCATAAGTTGTTGAACATACACCTCTTTTTCAAGAAACCTAATCAAGAAAGCCGATTTCATATTCATTTGGTGGATTCTCCAATTGTTTTGGGCTACCAAAGAAATTAACAATCTAATTGTTTCCAAATGAGCTACAGGTGCAAATATCTCATCATAGTCAATTCTGGGTTTTTGGTTGTACCCCTTGGCGACTAATCTTGCTTTATATTTTTCAACTTCACCATTTGCATTATTCTTTACTTTATACACCCATTTGACACCAATTGCCTTTTGCTCTTTTGGAAGTGTAGCAAGCTCCCATGTGTCATTCTTCTCTATTGATTTAATTTATTTATCTATAGCATTTCTCCATTTTTTGTCTTGTGCCGCCTCTTCAAATCCTACGGGTTCACAATCCGCAAAGAGACAAAAAAGTGTTAGATCACCTAACCTTTCTATTACCTCATCCGTTTCGTCATATATGTCAAGAAAACTCCTAATGTGAAGTGGTGGTGTGTCACTTGAACTTGATGATGATGGAGTTGATTGATCTTGAATTGATGGTGGTAGAGGTGATGTTGGTGGAGAAATGGGCTGCTCCATGCCTTCATTTTCTTGCTCCTCATCCGAAATTGGAAAAATATTATAATCTTCATTTGGAGTATTCCAATCCCATGTGGCTCCCTCTTCGAATTCAATATCTCTACTAATAACAATCTTCCCATTGCTTGGATTGTACAACTTATAGCCTTTGGAACTTGCATCATAGCCAATGAATACCATTTTTTTACTTTTGTTGTCTAACTTGGTCCTCCTTTCAACCGGCACGTGCACACGGGCAATGCTCCCAAAAACCCGCAAATAAGAGACACTTGGCTTTCGTTCGCTCCATGTTTCTTGTGGTGTTTTGTTTTGCATACTTCTAGTAGGACACCAGTTGGACAAGTACACCGCACAATCAACCGCTTCAGCCCAAAATTCTTTAGGCATTTCCTTGCTTTTCAACATGCTTCGAGCCATATTAATAATGGCTCTGTTCTTCCTTTTTGCAACTCCATTTTGTTGGGGCGATCTCAGAACCGTTAAAGGATAGTGAATTCCATTTTCTTCACAAAATTTTTTGAAATTATTTGATGTGAATTCACCACCTCTATCGGATCGAAGAGCCTTTACATCATAGCCACTTTGTTTTTCAACAAGTGCTTTAAATTTTTTTAAAATTCCATACACCTTCGATTTTTGTTTAAGAAAATACACCCATATTTTTTAGCTAAAATCATCAATGAATAATAAAAAATAATTATTCTTACTAAATGATGATGGAGAAATTGGACCACAAACATCCGAATGGATAAGTTGTAGTGGTGCCGTAGCTTTTGTGGTAGCTTCTTTAGGAAAACTTTTCCTTGATTACTTTCCAACGAGACATCCTTCACATAATTGATTTGGATTGCTAATGAAAGGCAATCCCTTCACCATCTTGTTTTTGCCCAACAACTCTAATCCTCCAAAGTTCAAGTGCCCAAGTCTCAAATGCCAAAACCAAGTTAAATCATTAAAACAAGCCTTCAAACATTTAGCCCCGTCTACTTAAATATCTAGCAAAAACATCCGGTTCTTTGTCATTGGAACCTTGGCAATCAAATTACCCAATGGGTCTTTTATCGAAAGACTACAATCCTTCATGGCAATATTATAGCCTTTTTCTAAGAGCTGTCCCAAACTCAAAATATTGTTCTTCATATTAGGCACATAATAAACATTAGAGATAAATTGAAAATGCTCATTCCTCAAACAAATCAATATATTACCTTTCCCTCTTACCAAAATTTGTGATAAGTCTCCAAATGTCACCTTGCCATTAATTGATTCATCAATATCAACGAACTTCTCTTTGCTACCACACATATGGTTGCTAGCACCGGTGTCAAGATACCACACATCTTCTTCATTCCTTTCACCTTTGTATGCCAACAACAGAGTAGGTTCCACTTCTTCATCAACATAATTGGCCTTTTCTTTAACATCGTTAGCAACATTTCTGCATTCTAAAGCATAATGACCATACTTTTGACAATTGTAACATTAAATTTGAGACTTATCATACCTCCTTAATTCCATATGACCTTGAGTAATTTCCTCTACTCCGACCTCTTATTTGTTATGAGTCATGGACTTTTTCTTCATTGTTGGTTGTGTGTTGACGGCTTCTTTCTCCTCTTCCACGGCCTCTTCCTCTTCCTCTTCCTCGGCCACGTGCATTTCCATGTCCTCGGCCCCTTTGATTTCCTCCATGTTTTTCGTCTCTTTCGTTCAACGAAAACTTTGTTTGTAGTACTTGCTCCAAAGCTTCTTGTTTATTTACCACCATTTCTTCATGAGCTTGCAACGAACCCATGAGTTGATCTACAGTCATGGAATCCAAATCCTTTAACTCTTCAATGGCTACAACAATGTAGTTAAATTTAGAATCCAACGACCAGAGGATCTTTTCAACTACCCTAGTATCAGTCATGGTGGTTTCGCCATATCTTATTAGTTAATTTACAATAGCCAGGACCCTCGAAAAATAATCTGAAATTGATTCAGATTCCTTCATATGCAATGCTTCAAATTCACCCCGTAACGTTTAGAGGCAAACTTTCTTCACTTTATCAACTCCTTAGAAGGAATTTTGAAGAATCTCCCATAGTTACTTTATATTTTTTTCACTATCAACTCTTTGTAGCATTCCATCATCCAAATATTGATGGATGGTTATCACCGCCTTTTGGTCCTTCTTTCTCATGACTTGTAAAACATCTTTTTCGGCTTGAGACAAAGTTGCCTCATCTTCTGGCTCGTCATAACCTTTGGAAACAACTTCACACACATCTTGTGTAATACCCCTAATTTTAAAAGGATAGTCCTGGTATTTTAATTAATTATTTTGTTTGCATTTTTAAGTATTTAATTGTTTTGTTGCTTGGGTAATTAACTTGTTTGGATTATTTGATTTAATATTTGATTTAATTACATTATTTGTTTTATTTGTATTACTTAGTTTAATTAAATTATCTGAATTATTTTTATTATTTATGTGTCCTTAATTCATTATGTAATTAGGTTAAATGAATATTTATATTATGTTAATAAATTCTTTAGGGTTTCTGTTAGAAGTCCCGTAGGTGGAAGCCGACAAAGTTTATAACGAGGGTTGTTCGTAGGCCGAGTTAGGGCTCTGTCTCTAATATTACAAGGATTAGGGTTTTAGGGTTAAGCTTATAAATACACCATTATTCTTTAAGGCTAGGGTTTATGATCATAACACTTAGCTTTTAAACATGAAGTTAGTTCTGTAAAAGCAGAGAGTTACAGAGTGAGGTTTTGAGAGAACAGAGCACGTTTGGTGTGGGTTTCGACTGAGGATTCAAGGTCGGACCTAAGAGAAGGGAAGAACAGAAGTAAGAGGAAGATAAACGGTAGTTCAGAGTTGCCGGAATAGTTGACACAACGCCGAGATTTCATAACTGAAATCACAGGCAAGTTTATAACGAGGGTTGTTTGTGGGCCGAGTTAGGGCTCTGTCTCTAATATTACAAGGATTAGGGTTTTAGGATTAAGCTTATAAATTGATAAGCACCGAATATTGTATATTCAAGCGCCCTAAATTACATTAGTTAAGTTCATCGTTTGATTATTTAAGTAGATTATCTTCATTTGTGTGTATGTATATATTTTCAGGTCCATTTGCCAAAAAAGGAGCAAAATCAAGGCTTTGTGGAGTTTTGGCCATCAAAAGGCACAAGGCTGAATTTCTGGCAGCAGTGGAACCTAACTTTTGTTGCCATTTTTGACCTAGAAAACTCAAGAACTGGACTTCCATCATAGCATTAAAGATTTAGAGCTCTGAATTAGCTTTCTAAATCTTCAAATGGTTTATCATTCGGAGCTTGGAGCAGAGAGTTATGGCCTTGTTACCAGAGGTGCGCAGAACTGCCTGACAGCAATGAAATTCTGCCTTGATCTTCATTTTTGACAAACCATCCTTGAGAATTAGATCTCCACCAAAACATGCAGTATTTAAAGCTCTGAATTAGCTCTCCAAATCTTCAAACGGTTTGTCATTCGGAGTTCGGAGCGCAAAGTTATGGCCATTTCATCAAAGTAGGTCCGGGCGGAGCAAGGCAAGAATGGAGCATTCTGCTCCAATTTCGAGTGCTCGAGCCCTTATTTCGAGTGCTCGAAATTAGGGCAGAATTGCATCCGGAAATGGCCCATTTTCAGCCACTTGCATCTTGGGTTCGTCAATTCTAATTTCCCTCTTTAATGATTGGTTGGAGATGTTGGTTGGTGGGGGTTTTTAGAGGCTTATCTCTAGAAGATAAGGGAGGGAGGTCACACATATCATTAAGCTTGATTTTGGGAAGATAAAAGGGAAAGAAGAGAGCAAGAAAAGGAGGGGTTCTTCAAGCTCCAAGAAGGTTGCACGAAAATGGCCATGAAAATAGAGCTTCTTCCTTCTTCTAGCTTGGCAATGGGTAACTAACTCCCTATCTAGGGAGGTGATGAAGCCCTACTTTGTAAGCATGTCTTAGTTTTGGTTTAATCTTGGGAAATATGTATATATATGGCACTTTCATGGTCTAGAGCTTGTATTTGATATAATGAACATAAACTCTTATAAATGATCATGTTAAATATATTATCTTCTCTTAGAGTGTATGTTCTCATGGTTGTATTGCTTTCATTTCCATAGTGACAATGGAAACAAGATTGTGAAAGTGTTTTTATTGGCATGTATTTGAGAATCTTGTTAATCCATAGCTTAGGGTCCCCCTTTGATGGATTTATTCTTGATTCTTAGCTCCATGTGCTATCACCATAGTTATTGAGGGGTTTGATAGTCCCTAGCTTAGTGAATATGTGAAGCTACAATTTCATTTAGGTAGTCAAGCATGTATAACTTTGAGGGATTATGCTTAAATCTTGATTCTATGAAATTCTTGGAGATAGTGTAGTAATTTTGTATTGCTACATATCATTGCCATATATCTAATTTGTTTCCCAAGTTAACCACATACTAGCATGTTAATAAAGTAGGTAGTGGATTCATCTCCCTAGTCTTTTCTACTTGTATCTCACTTCTTTACATTCCTTACAATCTACTAGTTTATTCATCTTTACATTTCTAGTTTAGTGACAAACAAACAAACCCTTATTACCCCTTATCATTCTAAGAATGATTCTAGACATTTAGGTTGCCTTAGACTAGCGCAGTCCCAGTGGTTCGACTTACCCGACCAATAGCCCTATTTTACAATGATTCGTGCTATTGCGAAGGTTGATGTATGATTGACCAACCGATCATAAATACACCATTATACTTTAAGGCTAGGGTTTACGATCATAACACTTAGCTTTTAAACGTGAAGTTAGTTCTGTAAAAGCAGAGAGTTACAGAGTGAGGTTTTGAGAGAACAGAGCACGTTCGGTGTGGGATTTGACTGAGGATTCAAGGTTGGACCTAGGAGAAGGGAAGAGCAGAAGTAAGAGGAGGATAGACGGTAGTTCAGAGTTGCCGGAACAGTGGACACGATGCCGAGATTTCATAACTGAAATCACAAGCAAGTTCTTTTCTTCCTCCTTCCCTTTAGTTCATGTTCTGTGCACCTAAATAGTCTCTAGGGTTTAATTAATCATTAACTAAGACTTACATGTATGATATATGCGATATTGATGATCTGTATGTGTTGTAATCTACTCTGTTTCAGTTATGCTTGTTTGAGTTCCAATGTTATTCTTTAAGCATGATAAACTAGAAGTGTTGTAATTACTGTAACTGCTTTTAACCACTGTAAACCAACCATGGGGATGCTACTAGGATTAGATAAGACTCCTAAGTTCAGAATTGAAGAGGAACAGAGGGGTTGGAATGGCCGATGTTAGGGAGCAGACGGGCTGAAACGGAGTGTATCGGAGCAGGAGGCTCTCAGAGGAAGTGAGAGCCGGCTCCATAGAAGTAGGAGCCGACTCCCACAAATGTAGAGCCGGCTCCAGGCTGATTGGAGCCTGCTCCCAAAGTTTTGGAGCAGGCTCTCTTCAATAGTAACATTCTTATGTTTTTTTTTACGCGTTGTGGTTACTGTTGGAGCATGGAATCTATTCTGAAAATTTTAGGACTTCACAGAGGGATTAAATGGTTTATTTTGGGTGTTATTAAGACCTTAGGTTAATCAAAGTTAGCCTCTGAGTTAGTAGGACAAACAGTATTAAATTAGTAAACTTTTTCTACTGTTAACGAATAAAAGACGGATTAATTGTTTAACTAAATTTTAGCAATTTAATGGGATTTGGAATGTTTTTAAAACTTATTTTAAATGCATGATAGGGTCATCTATGTATTTGTTTTGATCTATACATGTTTTGGGATGCTAATTGTGAAATATTAAACCTTTTCTGTAATTACTTGGATTACTGTTGGATTGCAATTGCTAGAATAATAAAACGTTTTCTGCAACTACTTGGATAATGGTTTGGACTGTAAATTACTAAATTATAATTTATATATTGTAATTTACATGGATATAGAGGATTGTATGCACCAGTATGGGACGGTGACATACTAGAGATGGCTTAGCTCAGAACTCTAAGACCTACCCTATTGGAATAAGGGAATGGATTCTAAAATATTGAATCCTACTTATAGTTGGGTCAGATCAACTGAGTAAGTTGAGTGACTTTCCGGATTAATTATTGTTTGTGTTTAAGTCAGATCAATTGAATAAGTTGAGTGACTAACAGGATTAGGATTCTTATGTCATATCAATAAATAATTGAATGACATACTCTGGTTCGGACAGACTTTAAATATATGATTATGGTACCACGATATGAGCTTGAGCCTCAGAGTCGTTGGTTAGGGCGCGTATATGCAGTGGATGCGTAGCTGGCTAAGATAGGTTGAGGTGTACCCTGTTAGGTCTAGGTATTCATGCCCACCTTTTGGGCGCGTTTTTGCATGTTGCCTTCTATTCAGGTTGAGACCCCATTCGTAGTCAAGTGAATGTCCCTTAGTGTGGATATATATATGTATGGGCAAGATAGATATTGTTGAGATATCTAAGGTGTATCTGCGTATCGGGTCACTGTATGGATTGCAGTTAGATTAGAACTTGTTCGTGGACCTGACCCACTCTTATATTTTTCAGGTATCGGACAGTTCCAGTCTTTGGCTTGATCGTGCTGAGCAGAGACTATCATTCACTCTACCGACAACGTAGGATTTCTTTCCATGTTTTAGTTTTGGTTTTATTCCAGTTATTTTAAAAGTTCAGTTGGGATTTTATTTAAGGGTCCACTAGATGGATTCCCGAGTTGTATTCTTGGAGGATTTTTATTTTATAAATTCTTTCAGCTTCATTATTTAATTCTTAATTCTTTTGATATTCTGTGTTCGTTATAAAGTATTAATTGTTTGATATTTCCTTCGGGTTTGGGCTTGGGCCTGATCAACCCATGTCTCGGATCCGAGGG